GAAAGTCTGTTTGAAACACTTCAGATGTCAGCTAACAAACCAAAATAACATATTCTTTCTGATTTGTTTAAAAAAGAAGACAAAATCACTAAAACCACATTAGTATCTGAGCTTCAATAAACATACTACAGTTGTAAGAAAACTTCACTGGTGTGACATATGACAGTATTAACTATTGGGCTGGCCAAAGTAATTGTGTTTTTTTCTGGGTAAATGAAAGGCGAATTTTTCATGGGAAACAAAAACAGTATTAAACAATATAGTGTCCATTTTTGTTCAATTATCCTTTGCCGTTTTCAGGCAATTTCATGATTCCATGCTCAAAAATGTTCTTATCCTTTTTCAGCAAAGAACAGCTCCAAGGACGATTAGATATCCTCATCAGCAGTGAAAGTTTCACCATTCAAGGCATTTTGTAAAGAGCAAAACAAATGGCAGTCTGATGGTGCCAGGTCTGGCGAATATGGTGGATGCGGTAACACATCCCATCCAAGCTGCAACCATTTTTGATGAGTGACCAAACTTGTATGTGCTCTAGTGTTATCATGGAGAAACACAGCACCTTTGCGATTCACCAATTCTGGACGCTTCTCTTTGATGGCATCATTTAATTTATCCAGTTGACAACAGTACACGTCCGAGTTAACGGTTTGGTTCCTTGGCTGCAATGCAAAACACACAATACCTTTGAAATCCCACCAGACTGACAGCATAACCTTCCTTTGGTGAATATCTGCTTTTGAAGTGCTTTGAGCTGGTTCATCACGCTTGCCCACGATGTTTTTCATTCATCATTGTTGTAGACGATCCATTTGTCATCGCCTGTTAGCATACGTTTCAAGAACGGATCGTTTTCTTCACGTTCCAAGAGAGAATCGCAGATGTCAAAGCGCTTAGTGAGAGAATTTCTTTGAGCTCATGTGGTACCCAAATATCGAGTTTCCTAATGTATCCAAGTTGTTTTAAATGGTTTCCGACGCTCGATTTCTGCACATTAAGATTACTGGCAATTTCTCATGTCGTTAAACACCGATTGGATTCGATCAATGCCTTTATTTTGTCGTTATTAACTTCGATTTGCCTTCCTGAGCATGGTGCATCTTTAACATCAAAATCTCTGGACCGAAATACAGCAAACCAATACTGACACTGCCATAGTTTTAAGGCATCTTCACCATACACATCACATAACTTTTTATGATGTCGCACAGCATTTTTTTCCAGCTGTCAAGTTATATAATGAATTTGCATTTTAAAATGAAGTTAGTTACTTTTCAAGACATGTATGTCCATCTATTAAAAAAAATGCAATTACTTTTTGGCCAACCCAATAGCAAACACATAATATACAAATACCCTCATTACACTGCAAATTTAACTAAAAACTGGCTTTTGCAACCACAGATAAAAGACATACACTTTTAATTTCTTAAATTAAACATCTAAAAACCAGACTATTTTAGATACAAACTCAAAAACTTATGCTCACCTCTGCTTATAGATGCCACATGTAAGTGACAATTTATTTGTTTCAGTTAGAAGTCATGATAGCCAGTCCTGCTTCAAATAGCAGACTGGCTGATTAGTCTCAGCAGCCTTCACTTGGTAACCAGACCAAAATCCTTCTGCTGCAAAAAACATTTTTTATTCAAAGAACTGCACAAATGAAGGTTAATCTTCCTCTGGTGCAAAACAGAGGAGCAGAATGGGGCACAAATATCAAACGTTGACTCTGTCAACAGGTTGATTCCTGAAATATGAGTGTGTAATGAGGCTTGAGCGCAGCAAGTTTTTAAACACACTCCGTTTGTCTCTTGGATTTGTATCTTTGCGATAGCTAAGAGTCAGAGAAGAATAACTAAATGAATAGCTGGTGAAATTTAGCCAAATCTTCAAAGGAGAAAAGCATTTTAGATTCACTGAACTAAGCTGCTGTGATTATTTGTTTAAGAGAATAACCATTAAGCCATGACTAACTGTCTGATATTTAGAGTTGCTTTTACAGAAAACTGACCCAATGATCCTCTGAGCACTTAGGTGACTTGGATCTCTATTAAAGGTTCTAATTCCAGCTGTAGAGTAGAACAATTCTCAGTAAAACTTATGTAAAAGAAGTAGAAAGCGTAGCTCACAGATGTCTTTTTCTAGTTGTGCTGATCAGCTGGCCATTTATTGCAAGTGCTTTTGATTATACAGAGAAACATTTCATTGTTTCCATAACCCAGTCCCATAATATAATGAGAACAGATGAGTGAGGAAGTACGGACTGCGATACTGTCAATATTCTGAGAACATCCAGGTATTTCTCCAGTTTACTTCATCTGTTAATGTTGTTGATCAACTGACCTAACATGGAGAAGACAGCAGAGAACTAGCTGTGCAGATAAACCCCAAGGTGGTAGTGATGTAAAGAGACACAAACACATTAAGAGCATCTGGGTGAAGATTAGGGGGACGGCAAACAAAGCAGATGTCATAGTGGGTGTCTACTACCGATCGGCCAGCCAGGATGTTAGCGCTGATGAGTTATTCTGTAGGCAATTAGGAGAAATCTCTGGATTGGTAGCCCTTGTCCTTATGGGAGATTTCAACTTCTCAGACATCAACAAGGAATACCGTAATTGCTGAGATGAGCAAGTCTGAGAAATTCTTGAAGTTTGTGGAAGATAACTTCTTGTCACAAGTACTCAGTGAGCCAATGAGGAAAGATGCCCTCCTAGACTTGCTGTCTGTGAATAGAGAAGGACTCGTGGGAGATGTGATGGTAGGTGGCTGTCTTGGCCACAGGGATCACAAGTTTAAAATTTTCAGTGTAATGAGACAAAAAAGATCAGCAGGGTTGCTATCCTGGATTTCAAGAGAGTAAACTTTAAGCTACTCAGGAAGCTACTTAGCAGTGTCCCCTGGGAATCTGCCTTTGAGGGCTTAGGGGTCCATGAGTGCTGGTCAGTTTTTAAGAACCACCTTTTAATAGCACAGGCAATCCCATCGTGTCGTAAGTCAGGCAAACCAGGCAGAAGATCAGCTTGGCTGAACAGGGGACTCCTTGTGGAGCTCAAGAGGAAAAAGAAATTATATGATCTCTAGAAGCAAGGTCAGGCTTCACAGGAAGATTACAGAAGTCTGGTTCGTATATGCAGGGAGAAGACATGGAAGGCCAAAGCTCAACTAGAGCTGAATCTGAGCAGTGTTGTGTCAGACAAAAAGAAAGGCTCCTTTAAAGTATTTTAATAGCAAGAGGAGGTCCAAGGAAAACATTGGACCAATACTTGTCGAAGATGGGTTTTTTGTTTGTTTTTTTTGTTTTGGTTTTTTGTTTGTTTGTTTTGGGTTTTTTTGTTAGTTGTTTTTTTTTTATTTTTCCTCCCAGTCTTTAATAATACTGATTGACCTTGGGCTGCCCGGTCCTCTGAGTTGGAGGACCATGACTGTGGGAACAGTGACTTTCCATTTGTGGACACGGAAATTGTAAGGGATCGGCTGTACAAGCCGAATGTTCACAAGTCCATTGGGGCTAGATGGGATTCATCCCAAAATACTGAAGGAGCTAGCGGATGTTATAGCAGGGCCCCTCTCAATCATCTACCAAAGGTCTTGGGAGTCTGAGGAGATCCCCGCTAACTGGAAGATAATCAGCATTACTCCAAATCACAAGAAGGGCATGAGGGAAGACCCAGGAAACTACAGACCTGTTAGTCTAATCTCAGTACCTGGAAAAATTATGGAGAAGATCATACTGGGTGCTACTGAAAGACATTTAAAGGACAATGCAATCATCAGGCACAGTCAACGTGAGTTCAGGAAGGAAAAGTCCTGTCTAACTAATTTGATATCCTTCTACAATAAGGTCAGTGGATGTAGTTTTTCTGGATTTTAGGAAGGCTTTTGATACTGTCCCTCACAGCATCCTTCTGGACAAGTTGTCCAACTCTGAGATGAACAGGTACACGGTGCACTGGCTGAAGAACTGGCTGAACGGCAAGGCTCAAAGGGTTGTAGTGAATGGGGCTACATCTGGATGGTGACCGGTCACCAGTAGTGTTCCTAAGAGCTCAATTCTAGGGCCAGTTCTGTTTGATATTTTTATCAATGATCTGGATGCAGGAGTTGAACGCACCATTACCAAGTTTGCCTATGACACTAAAGTGGGAGGTGCTGTTGACTCTCTTGAGGGACAAGAGGCCTTGCAGAGAGATCTAGGTAGATTGGAGCACTGGGCAAACATTAATGGCATGAAATTCATGTTGTTATTTATTTTACTCATAACACTGCCTACATGCAATGAGTACCTGGCAATGCACATTTACTTTGATTTGCAAGGACTGCCTAATGATGGAACTCATGCACTGGATTAAATTCCTAAAAAGTTTGCTTAGTCCTATTTAAAGGACACAGTTCTAGCATACACTGTGACAGTTAAGATAAAGCAAATACCGGGGCTGCAACCACGACAGTATAAGAGGGAAAGCTGGTGATAAGGCAGTCTTTACAGGCAAGTATCTTCAGAACTCACTCCACTTTTTCTGAGTTAGCTTATGACTTGCCTCTTTCAAGGCATGCTCTTAAGGTCGCTTTGCCCCAAATATTCAGGGCAGGGTGGAGGAGCTATGAGAAAAGTACCGTAAAAGCTTATCTTAGTAGCAGGAAAAGTAATCATCTTTTTTTTTCTTTAATTTGCAAAAGAAATCACGTAGGAAACAGGTTTTCTCTGGCTGGTGTGCAGTAGGAACAAGTAATTTTTTCTAAGCAAAGACACAACAGCGAGTCAAAGCAGTTGTGCTAATCACAGACAAAAACATCTAAAAGCCAGATTTAACTTTTGAAAGGGATGGAGAGATAAATCAAGCATTTAATTATCAAGGGATAATGCAACTCAGTGTCTAAAGCTAACGAGAATACACATAACAGAATCTAGCTTTAAATGAAATCAAGGAAAGTCACCAGTTTATTGCAAAAATTGCTCACTGAATTTCAGATATTTATTAACAACACTTAGTATCTCATCTTACTTGTTGAAGGAAAATAGGAAGCTGTTGTCTCATTTGCTCTTGAAGTTGAGGATTTCCAGCAAATAAAGGATTATTCAACATCATCTACGGGTCAAAAATATTTAACACCATAGATCAAGCAGTAGATCAAAAAGTAAATACCAGAGTGGATTTTAAGACAACTATTTACCACATATGAATCAGATAACAAGATAGTAGTCTATGATAACCTCAGAGTCATTATCTCCATCTTCTCCTTTGGCCAAAATTTGTTCTGAAACAATGAACCACCAGCCTGAGAATTGACTGAAATCATTGGTGGTGTGGAGTTGGGTTGGTTTTGGGTTTTTTTGTTTGTTGGTTGTTTTTTTTTGGGGGGGGGGGGGGTTGTAATTTTGGGTGTGGGGTTTCTTTTGGAGAGGGTGTATCTTAAACTTCTGAGGTGAATCCTTTCCAGAACCTTGTCAAAGAAATCTCATTTATGTAACAAGAAAAGCTTTTTCTGGTCAGCCTCCACTACAGATGTGATGGTTTCTGTGTAAACATAATCTGCAAAAAGCCTGGGATATTTTCCAGTTGAGTATTTAATATACAAAAGATAATAATACTATCTCAGTTCAAGATTTGACTTTGGATATTATTGCTGTAAGTAAAATTGGAAAGCACTTCTACAATACCATTCATAAAACAGCAGTAAGTATCAGCACTTTTACTGTGAGCAAGGATCACAGATGAGAAATGAAAACCAGAATAACAGCTAGATATGGCACCAACTCCTTCCCCTCCACTTCTGTCCTCCCAAGGTAGGGTGGGTATTTATAAGTTAAGGTAGATCTGCTAGTAAATAATCAAAGCATTTGTTTTGTTTAACTGGTTCTTATGCTAGGCCACAAAATTATAGGGCTGTATGAAACATACACAAACTTAAAAGTTGTTACAAGAAAATGCCTGACATGATGTCCAACTACAAATTGAAGAAACTTCAGATTGCTAAAGGTAACTAGGTAATAATTTCAATAAGTCAGGCATTAGCATACTTTAAAAATTGGACCATTCACAACAGACAAGTTATTGTTGAGACTTTGGCACAATTACACTGATATTTAGAGTTGCTTTTACAGAAAACTGACCCAATGACCCTCTGAGCACTCCTTTTTTCACTTCAGTGCACAGAACACATTGCTAAAACAAAAGCGTTTACCTGTACTGCAAGATCAGGATTCTGGCTCAATGACTGCATCATGCTTCTCATATAGGGTGCAGACAACATATTTTGCATAAGTTGTGGATTTTCTGTTATCTGCTGTAACAAGCTCTGCATTCCTGGTGAGTTGAACATACCAACTTAAAAAAAAAAAAGAGAGAGAGAGAGAGAAAAAAGAAGAAAAAAGTCACTTTAATAAAAATCTTGACTAGAATAAAATTAAATTAGACGGCACAGAACTGAGATATAACTGTGTGGTTTGTTTTGGTTTTGGGGGGCTTTTTTGTGGTTTGGTTTGGTTTTTTTTAATGAGCTTTAGCCCCTTAAGTACATCCCAATGTGGTGGATGCGTCTGTCCTAGAAACAAGTGAAGCCAGAGGTCATGTCCAACAAGCAGTCCTGCTAAAGTATCTGCATTTTTAGCTGTTTTCATGTTTGTCTCCAAACAGAAAGAAATATTATCATTCATCTACAGATTCCCTACTTTTGTTATTTTAGGGCAGTACACCACAAGTATTGTTAGTACTCCAGGTTTACTTTTCATGGTTTTTTTTCTACAGAGGACTTCGATACTAGTCAGATGCTCTATGGAAATAAATGGCAATAGACACTTTGAATCAAAACATTTCTTTCTAATAACAGAATCATTTCAGCAAAGTCCTGAATATTTGCAAATATATACAATTGCAATAACAGACACACCTCCTAGTCCAGGTCCCAAATCTGAGCTCTGTCCCGTACTAGCAGAGGTGCTATTTCCGACATTACTACTGCCACTGCTCTCACCACTGGTGCTGGTACTTGCGGAACTCTGAGAGCTGGACTGAGGAGCCCAGGGATTTGGTAAAGGATCTCTATTTTCTGTACGAGATGGCTGACTGTCCCCTCCTGATGATGCATTGTTTACTAAGGAAGCAAATGGGTTGCCTCCAAGCTACAGAAGGAGAAAAACACATATCATCTATTAGTCAACTATTTTTAAGTCTGCTAGAAATGGCAAATTACCTTTTCAAAATTACACATGAAGATAAATGTTGATGGCTCTTCATCAACTATAATCGCTGTCCTAAAATAAGCCATTGAAAATATTCTGAAAAATACAAACTCTGAAAGAGATATTATCTCCAACCAAAAAAAAATAAATATTAATCACACCTCATTTTAAATGTAGTGTTTGCTACTATACTAGTACTTTGATCACAGTAATGTTATATCTTGCATAGTGGTTTCCAACTTAGAAAAATTTCAAAGCCTTTTTTCTTCCCATCTTAGGTTCCAAGTTACTAAACACACTCTTAATTTTTTCTGGACCTCAGGAATTTTATAAGTCCAAGAAGTAAATTAAATCCATTTAGAATAGATATAAGAAAAAATTATTAATGTTAAAATAGCATATCAAACTCACAAAAAATCTTTATTCCTTCAAGTTTAAAAGAGCATAGGAACAAGCCACACATTGACTTCAAGCTTCAAGAAATTAAGTTTTGTCAAGTACACATTTGAAAAGTTACATTATTTATCTTCTTTCATTTTTGAAAAAAACAAACACAAAAACGTTTATTTTCAGTGGCCCCTACAATTATTTCTCACCTGTTCCTGTGCTGCATTTAACATTGGCTCCTGAATATCTGTGTACAGGCGTCGCAAGGCATTGTAGCCACCTGGTATACTTTCAAGGTTACTCAAGGCTCGGTCTTGGTTTCGCATCATTTCCTGCATCATTGCAGGGTTTCTAGCAAGTTCTAGCGTCTAATGAAGTAGAACATTTAATTTGTATTAATTTAAAAATCCATTCTAAAGTGAAAACATCAGCATGTAACAGTATCTCGGTTACTAATGTCTAACTCCATTTGAGATTAGGTTTAAAGCCAAATCAAGACGTCAGCTTAGTGGGAGGGGAGTCAATAGAATTTTATATTTAGTCAACATTCTGCCACAACTGTCAGTATACAAGCTGAGTCAGAAAGCATTGACTAAACAGAAGAATAAACCCTTGAATGTACCATCCTGTTCTTTCTTGTCTCTTCTCAACAGAGTATATTTCTACCATTTCTAACATCAGTACAGCATGCAGCTTATAACATGAGCTTGAAAAATAAATACCTTAATTTTCCAAAGCCTCCATTTGTTTCTTGATGCCTTCTGCCACATAAGGCATACCTTACATAACATGTAACTTCAGAAGCAATCAGAAGTACCCACAGCTACTTAAACTGGAAATAAGCAGTATTTTGGAGAATTATTACTTTATAGTACACTCACTGTTGACTAGACAACAGAAGATTTCAAGTGGCATCCAATTCTAAATTTGGAAGATATGATTATAGAGTCTTCAGCATCTTTCAAAACCGTGCTGCTTTTTTTTTTTTTAATTAACAGCTTATTTCAGACACCAGCAGCTAGAAATAAAAACATCAGCTTCCTAGTGACCTTTTACAGATTGTCTAACAAGCCTAAATTCCTCAACAATATTTCAGCACTCATCTAAGCATGTCCAATTCTTGCTCTTTTGTTCACAGTTACAGTATAATCAAAGGTCATGAACTTAGAGATCTTTCTACATACCTGTCTCATTATATCTGGATTATTCAGCATGTGACTGATTTCTGGATTTCTCTGTATCAGTTGCTGCATTTGAGGGTTAGCCATAATTAACTGCCTCATCAGGTCAGGATTTGAAAGCATGCTCTGAACAAATGGATTTTCCATTATCTGAACCATCATTTCTGGGTTGGACATAAGTTGTCGTTGCATCTGACTCTGTAACTCTGAAAAGTTTGATGCATTTAAGCCCAGGCTACTGAGGCCTGCCAAACCTCCAAGGCCACCTTTAAGAGGAAAGAAAAAAAATTAAACTTTCAGCTTCTAGTATATTTCTAAATACATCCAGGTTCTTTCTAAGTACAAAATACATAAACATAACCCACACTTCAAAATAATGAAACTCAATGGAAATTCTATCTTTGCATGGTGAGTGTCAGGAGGAAGGAGCCAGGCTCTTCTCAGTGATGTCCAATGATAGGACAAGGGGCAATGGGTGCAAGCTGGAGCATAGGAGGTTCAACCTGAACATGAGGAAAAACTTTTTTACTGTAAGGGTGACAGAGCACTGGAACAGGCTGCCCAGAGAGGTTGTGGAGTCTCCTTCCCTCAAGACATTCAAGACCCGCCTGGATGCGTTCCTGTGTGACCTACTCTAGGTGATCCTGCTCTGGCAGGGGGGTTGGACTAGATGATCTTTCGAGGTCCTTTCCAACTCCTAATATTCTGTGTGATTCTGTGTGAAGGCTGTTAAGGAGTCATCCACTAAGAGTTTGCTTCATGTAACGGGACACCTAGGAATCCAAACCGCATCTGTAATGTAAGTTGTTACAATTCTAACAGCTTTTCTTCTGCTTCACTATAGCTGAGGTACAAGACATGTTTGAGTTCTGGGGTCTCAGGTTAATCCCCAACACTTTCCAATACATTTGTAATAATCATTTATAGACAGACCACCACCATGCGGAATCTCTTAATACAATGCTCCCTATTCTACTCCCTATTCTAAACAAAAAGTAGCTGATGCAACAAGAATAATGCTTTAAATTCTCCTCCTTTGCAGAGTTGAGCAAACACAAAAGTTTCACATTTTTAGAAGGTGCTAGTCAGTCTGGAGAACTGTTTACAACTAACAAAAGCAATTGCTTAACATAGTTTTTCTGGGGTTTTTGTTCTGTTTTTTAAAAAGAAGGCAAACAATGAAAGAGCATAAATAACAAAATCCAGTAACTATGGAAAGAGATAATATTTTAAAATAATTTGACTTCTGTCTCTATTCCTGAAAGAGAAGACTGATAATGCAATCGGACTCAGAACCTGAGAAATACTGGTTTGTAGGACAGGAGTAACTTTGTTATTTCTGTTCCAAGTCATGATGTTATGGGTCCAACTTCAATACTCTCTTCAAGCCAATTCAAATGCACTGTTAAGGAGGAGGAGGAGACTGGAAGGAGTTTATTTACCTATAGTGCCAGAATATGAGATCAGTGGCACCTTACTACTGAAGATGAAACAGTACAAGCCTGAAGTTCTGCACATCAAATTTAAGGAAACAACTTGCCTCTGATAACTTATTGATCAGAAACTTATTATAACTAATACCACAGATTTTTGTAATCAGCAATTTTATATTTTTAAGTCCCTTTTACTTTAGAATAAAGCTCCAGGGATACTTACCTGAAACCAAGATACCCAAGATACACATCATGTTTTCTAACAAATATTCTTACCGAAGCCAAAAGAGTTGCTATTATTTATTGAAGCTGATGTTGAGGTATTACTGCTGGATACTGATGTGGTAGCAATACCGCCAGCGGTGTGTGTCTGTTGACCTGGATGGTCTTGTGATCTATAAAAAGCAAGTTAAAAAAATTGCAAATTTTACAAGGTGTGGTAGGTTGACCCCAATTGTGTATTAATGACATTTAATACAGGAACGGTATCATACTTGGGAATCTTAAATTACTTTTTTATTATTTCTACAATAAAATTTAAAAAAACCCTATTATCTCTAGATGTCTTCCTGGCCAAACTCAAACAGGAAGTACACAGAAGGTGGAACCAAGGACAGGTAACTGGGAAGAACACAAAGACATTTTCCGAGTCTCTCTTTTTTATACAGAGTTGGGAAAGACAAATATTTTGGTATCTTAAGAACGCTAACGTTTTTTTGGCTTTAGAGTAACTCTGTGGAACTCTTTGAGGAATTGGTGGCTTCATTATTATTTTTTTTTCAAAGTAATTTTAAGGATTTGGAGCAGTCTATTGTAGCTTTATGGCCTTTGATCAAATAGCATAAACCAACGGCAATTTAAAGGGAGAAAGCCGGTCAAACTGTGAGGATTGAAACTTGCTGTAAATGCACTGATAAGGAAAGGTCAATTGAGCTTGCTGCGATAAAAGTGCAAACAGCCAAAGACCAATGCATCATGTGCAGAAAGTGCTAAGGTTGATCAGGGCCAGTAGAGAATGGGGATGTTCCTTTTTAAAATATAAAAATATCGTGTACGTTAGTGTTATTTCAGACTTACAGGTAAGTATTTACATTGGTCAATACTTAAGGTGTTTGCTAAGCATGGTGTGGTGGGTTGACCTTGGCTGGACGCCAGGTGCCCACCAAGCTGATCTATCACTCCCTTCTACAGCAGGATGGAGGGGTGGGAGAAAATAAGCTGGAAAAAAACCTGGTGGGTCAAGATAAAGGCAGCTTAATAAGGCAAAAACAAAGGCCACGTGTGGAAGCAAAGGAAAGCAAAAGATTTATTCTGTACTTCCCATCAGCAGGCGATATCCAGACACTTCCCGGGAAGTAGGGCTTCAGTATGCGTAGTGGTTGCTCCGGAAGACAAACGTCGTAATAACGAATGCCCCCGCCTCCTCCTCATTTCTCTTAGCTTTTATTGCCGTGCATGAAGTCATATGGTATGGAGTATCCCTTTAGTCAGTCTGAGTCAGCTGTCCTGGCTATGTCTCCTCCGGGTCTCTTGCCCACCCCCAGCCTACTGGGTGAGGCAGGGGGAAAATGTCCGAGAGACAGCCTTGATGCTGTGGGAGCACTGCTCAGCAGTAGCCAAAACACTGGTGTGTTATCAGCACCTTTCTAGCTACCAATACAAAGCACAACACTATGAGGGCTGCTATGGGCAAAATTAACTCCATCTCAGCCAGATCAAATACACATGGATATTGAGTGTACATTATAAATATGTACTTTTGTTGCAGAAACAAGTAGCTTATATGTGGGAAGTTGTTGCAGTATGACAATATCCTATATTCAAAGCTTTTGAAAAATCTGTGCTTTTATTAGCAGTTTATTTGAAGATGGAAGTGGTTAAAGAGGAAATGGCTTATATTTTGGGCCTGTCAGTTTGTTTTCCTTGAAATAGTAAAGCATCACATATATAGCCAACCAGTTATTCCACAGATCCTTAAAAGCGTACTACTAATATCAGACAAGAGGTTCCTAAACTGTGATGTACAGTTCAGTTCTTAGTGGTGGTTGAATAGTTGCCAGTTGTCCTGGTTTACTGGCACAGAATTTGAGAGTCAGTTTTCTGTTGAGGAAAACTCCGATTTTTGTAAGGACTACAACACTCTATTTCATGGGAACAAAGTTGATAAGACACTTTGTGGCCAGCCCTGGTATGCAGGTTGCCATAGTGATCAAGGTCTTAAACAGTTTTGAGTTAGCCAAGTGCAGAAGCTAGGAGGAGCGAAAGCCAGGGCAGATGACCCAAGCTGTCCAACAGAATTATCCCATACCATAAACATCACATTCACTATAAATTGGGGAGTTTGCTGGGGACGGCCCTCTTGCTCCCTCCTGCTCCTTCTTCTTCCCTCCTCCATGGCTGACATCTCGAGAGGGACTTGTTTACTGCCCTAACTCCAAGGCCTACTCCCCCCCAATATTGGTTGCATAAAACTCTATGTATTTTATATTATAACTGTTATTAATATTAGTCTTTATTATTACTATTTTTTAAAATATATTTCTATTTCAACCCATGAGTCTCCTTTCCTTTTCCCAATCCCCCCCTCCCCAGGTGGGGAGGAGGCATCGGGTGATAGAGCAACTGTATAAACCACGACACCAGTCAAATGGTAACTCGTGCACACGTGCAAAGTTCAGCACAGACTGGGAAGCTGTCGGAGCCCAAGGGAAATAAATTTGTGGATGTGTGTTAAACTCTTCCTAGTTTGTGTTGGACTTTTTACAGTAGAGCTTTTGAAACTTCAGTATTTCAAAAACTATTTCTCCTGCAAAATGTGGGTTAATGCAAGTAACTGATACAAAGGGGGCTTCAAGTTACAGTAACATTATATGAGTTTGTTACTTTTATTACTCTAATCCTTGTAGCGGTGTCTAAAAATAGATTGTCGCTCTTCAGGGCATTGACCTATCTTTTGTTTCTGAAATATACCTAGTATGCTGAAGTTAAAAAGACTTAAACCACCATGATATCTCCTGGAGGGACAACACAGCATGGCATAAGCAATCCAGGAGGTTCCTGGAGTGCATCAACGACAACTTCCTCCTCCAAGTGACAGAGGAGCCAACAAGGAGAGATGCTCTGCTCGACCTCATACTTGCCAACAACAAGGGGCTTGTTGGGAATGTGAAGGTCAAAGGTAGCCTTGACTGCAGTGACCATGAAATGGTGGAGTTCAGGATCCCGAGGGCAGGGAGGAGGGTGAAAAGCAGGTTCACAACCCTGGGCTTCAGGAGAACAGACTTTGGACTCTTCAAAGAACTTCTTGGTAGAGTACCACAGGATAAAGCCCTGGAGGGAAGAGGGGCCCAAGAAAGCTGGTAAATATTCAAGGATCACCCCCTCCAAGCCCAAGAGTGGTCCATCTCAATGAATAAATCAGGAAACAAAGCCAGGAAGCCTGTGTGGATGAACAAGGACCTTCCTGGCCAAGCTCAAACAGAAAAAAAAGAAGAATACAGAGGATGGAAGTAGGAACGGGTAATCTGGGAGGAATACAAAGACATTGTCTAAGCATCCGGGGATGAAGTTAGGGAAGCTAAAGCCCAAATGGAATTGAATCTGACCAGGGATGTCAAAGGCAACAAGGAGGGCTTCTATAAGTACATAGGTGACAAAAGGAAGACTAGGAAAAACGTGGGACCGCTGCTTAATGAGACAGGGGACCTGGCTACACAGGACACAGAAAAGGCTGAGGTACTGAATGCCTTCTTTGCCTCAGTCTTTACCAGCAAGAACGGCTTTCAGGAATCCCAGGCCCCTGAGACCAGGGGAAAAGGCTGGAGCAAGGCAGATGCACCCTTGGTGGAAGAGGATCAGGTCAGGGAATACTTAAGCAAACTGGACATACATAAATCCAGGCTTCCTGACAGGATGCACCCATGAGTGCTGAGGGAGCCAGCAGATGTCAGATCGAGGCCACTCTTTATAATCTTTGATCCATCATGGTGACTGGCAGAAGTGTCTGAAGACTGCAGGAAAGCAAATGTCACTCCTATCTTCAAGAAGGGCAAGGAGGAGGACCCAGGAAACTGCAGGCCAGCCAGCCTCACCTCGATCCCTTGGAAGGTGATGGAGCAGCTAATCCTGGAAATCATTTCCAGGCACAGGAAAGAGACAAAATGACATCACGAGTAGTCAGCATGGATTCGCTAAGGGGAAGTCATGCTTGACCAACTTGATTAACTTCTGTGATGAAACGACTAGCCCTGTAGATGAGGGGAGAGCAGTGGATATTGTCTACCTGACTTCAGAAAGGCTTTGAACAGTGTCTCCCATAGCATCCTCATAGAGAAAGTGATGAAGTAGGGGCTGGATGACGAGAATGGAAAACTGGCTGAGTGGCCAGATCCAGAGGGTGGTGATCAGTAGAACAAAGTCTAGTTGGAGGCCAGGAGCTAGCAGTGAACCCCAGGGGTTAATACTGAGTCCAGTCCTGTTTAACATACCCTGTATGCCCTCAGCAAGCTTGCTGATGACTCAGAACTGGGAGAAGAGGCTGATAGGACAGAGGGTCATGCTGCCATCCAAAGGGACCTCGACAGGCTGAAGAAATGGGCTGACAGGAACCTCATGAAGTTCAACAAGGGGAAGTGGTGCAAAGTCCTGCACCTGGGAAGGAACAACCCCAGGCACCAATATAGGATGGAGGCTGACCATCTGGAAAGCAACTTGGCAGAAAAGGCCCTGGGGGTCCTGGTGGACACCAGGTTGAACATGAGCCAGCAATGTGCCCTTGCAGCAAAGAAAGCTAATAGTATTGTTATGGACATAGGAAAAACAAAGGTAGAATTTGGATTTAGAAATGTTAAAGCTGCTAATGAACCTATTTTAGTTACAGTTTGTTTTATCCAGTAGAAGTACATCTATCTAAAAAGTACATCCACTAAAAGTACATCTATCTGAACGTACATCTACTAAAGGTGCAACCAAGCAACCAAGCCAGTGATCAACAAATATGCCCCATTCTGTAAAATGAATCAAGCATGAAAAATTTATTGCTTTAGCGATCGCTGGAGCCTTAAACCTTTGTTATATGAAACAGGCCCCTCAGCTTTTCTAGTCAAGTCCTTGACCCAAGGTCGTTGGAGGGTCTCTCTCTTTTGAGTCTGGGGTCTGTGGGGAGCTACAGAGCTACCCCAGACCCAATTCCTGTCAACACTGCGCATGATCGGGATTAGGAGGAGTTATTTTAATTAGCTATGGGAAATTGTATGCATATGCATGTATGTATCCTTTATAATGTGTAAACACACCAGGCAAGGTGTGCGTTGTTGGTGAAACTATTCCCCTTCGCACCCGGCTGTAATAAAGAAGTGTCTGCTTATCTGCATCCCGTCGGTGTCGATAAGTTATTTTCACCCCAGTTTTTCAGTGACAGTATCCTGGGCTGCATTAGGAGGAGTGTTGCCAGCAGGTCGAGGGAGGTGATCCTTCCCCTCTACTCAGCACTGGTGAGGCCACACCTGGATCCCTGTGTCCAGTCCTGGGCTCCCCAGTACAAGCAAGACATGGACATACTGGAGAGAGTCCAACGAAGGGCCACAAAGATGATGAAAGGACTGGAGCATCTCTCATGTGAGGAAAGGCTGAGAGAGCTGGGACTGTTTAGCCTAGAGAAGAGAAGGCTCAGGGGAGATCTCATCAGTGTATATAAATACCTGAAAGGAGGGTGCGAAGAAGACGGAGCCAGGCTCTTGTCAGTTGTGCCCAGAGACAGGACCAGAGGCAACCGGCACAAATTGAAACACAGGAGGTTCTTGTCTGATCATAAGGAAAGACTTTTTTACTGTGAGGGTGACTGAGCACTAGAACAGGTTGCCCAGGGAGGTTGTGGAGTCTCCCTCCTTGGAGATGTTCAAAAGCCATCTGGATGTGGTCCTGGGCAACCGGCTCTAGGGTGTTTGACCAGATGACCTCCAGAGGTCCCTTCCAACCTCAACTATACTGTGATTCTCAGACATCTATTATCTCATCACTTCTTCAGAACAGTAGTTTCTACCATTAAGAAAACGGATGGGTAGCACTGCAACTGTTACCATTATTTCATCCTGTCCCTGGGATGCCTGTCAATGAATAGCTTCCTGAGTCCTTACCTTGCTTTAGGGATTCTGATGTACTCCTACCCCCGGAAATAGTACTAATTTCATGTCTGGGGCTTAAAGAAGAGAAGGCTTACAAGATCTACAATACAGGACTTATTCCGTACCACACCTTTAGTAGGACCCCCCATTGAACGACAAATTTGAAGTCTTATTTCATCACAAGAATAATATCAGAATTTCAATATTCTTTAAAACTGTAAGAGCATGGTAACAATGTAGTTGCACAGAGTTAATTCCATCATAAACCAGTACAAGCACTAAAGGCTGCTTGCCCAACTCGTATGCTCATTACACCTGTCTACTGCAGGGGCATGACCATGGGTGCTACCACGCAGTGAAACAGATCAAGGACTGTTCAGATTGTCTTCAGAATGTTATTCTTCACCACCTGTAACTAAGAAGCTAATTCAAGTGATTTAATAGGAATGGCTCAGTTTAGAAAATAGCATTGACTTTCAAATGGCATATGTATGATATCTAGGGACACAAACTTACAGAATTCAGGTTGCTTCTCTTGTTCGGTAGCAGGAGTATTTGTACTGCTTTTGAATGCATTTTAGTCAAACCTAGGTTTGCCCAACAAAAGACTATCACACTAGGAATTAAGAATATTTTTACTACTTAGAGGTAAAAAGAAAACTGCTCATCAGTCAGGTTACCTGTTTTGAGTTTTGATGACCAGGTGAACAGTGAGTCCATCATGAATCTCATGCTGAATCAAAGTATCTTGATCTTTTAAAATTTTTCCAGCAAATATCAAAATAAGCTGATCAGTGTGGGACTTGAAATGCTTAGAGATTTCTTCCTTGAACTAAACAGAAATTAATATAATGCAGTTATGTAATTGGATACTGAAATATCATTTTTTTATTATTTAAGGATGAACTATTTTGCTCACATTTATTATATTAATCCCCTTGTACAATATGTTTCGCTTTATACAACCTACATAAGCTTCACTAAGTTATCTCAACTTTCTCTTTATCCAAAGGAAAATGGAAAAAATGTAATTCTTTATCCGTACAATTAAAGTCAAGTGTTGCATCTCTAGATCACTAACTATATAGATGGCAGTAACAATCATTGGCTTCCACTTAAAGACTATACTGTCATTTCAGTCAGGCATGTACCCATGGCGCAATAAATACATAGTAGTAGTACACATACCAGTGAAACCATCCGTTGCCGACATGCTGAGGATGCAACAACTTGTTATGTTAATTCAGTCCATATTTGTGCAGGCACTGAAAGGAGCAGTATCCTTTCTTCTTGGACATGGTACTGTTACATTTTACATGTCAAAACTAGCAATCCCCTCCATACAGTCAAAAAATATTTCTTAGGTAGCTCTGCATGGTGAATAGCCACATATTTTGGCCTCTTCAGGGACCTGCTTGGTAGAGCACTGTAAAAAGAAAGCTGGTTAATATTCAAGGATTACCTCCTCCAAGCTCAAGAGCGATGCATCCCAACAAAGAGGAAGTCAGGCAAAAACACCAGGAGACTTGCATGGATGAACAAGGATGAACTGTCCAGTAGGACACGCTTAGATGCAAGAATAAATTCTAGAGAGGGTTGAAGCAAGGACAGGTAGCCTGGGAGGGATAACTAAGAAGTTGTCCAAGCAGCCAGGGATCGGTTTAGGAAAGCTGAAGCCCTGATAGAATTAAATCTGGCCAGCAACATCAAGGGCAACAAGAAAAGCTTCTACAGGTACATCAGTGATAAAAGGAAGAACAGGGAAGACATGGGCCCTCTCCAGAAGGAAACAGGAGATCTGGTCATGTGGGATACAGAGAAGGCTGAGGTAATGAACGACTTTTTTGCCTCAGTCTTCACTGGCAAGGGCTCCAGCCACACCACCCAAGTCACAGAAGGCAAAGGCAGGGACTGCGAGAAGGAAGATCCACCGACTGTAGAAGAGCAGGTTCAAGACCATCTAAAAAACTTGAAGATGCACAAGTCAATGGGACCTGATGAGATGCATCCACGGGTCCTGAGGGAACTGGCAGACAAAGTTGCAAAACCACTGTCCATCATATTTGAAAAGTCATGACAGTCTGGTGAAGTTTCCACTGACTGGAAAAGGGGAAGCATAACCACCATTTTCAAAAAGGGAAAAAAGGAAGACCCAGGGAACTACAGACCAGTGAGTCTCACCTCTGTGCCTGGCAAGATCAAGGAGCAGATCCTCCTGAAGGCTCTGCTAAGGCACATGGAAAACGATGAGGTGATTGGTAGCAACAACATGGCTTCACCAAGGGGAAATCACACCTGACAAATTTGGTGGCCTTTTATGATGGAGTTACAGGTTCAGTGGATAAGGGAAAAGCAATTGACGTCATCTACTTGGGCTTGTACGAAGTGTTCAACCTCGTCCTGCACGACATCCTGGTCTCTAAATTGGAGAGACATGGATTCGATGGATGGAACACTCACTGGATAAGGAATTGGCTAGATGGTCAAACTCAAATGGTTGCCGTCAACAGTTCGATGTCCAAGTGGAGGCCAATAACGAGTAGCGGTCCTCAGGGATCAGTATTGGGACCAGAATCGTTTAACATCTTTGTCGGCAACAAAAACAGTGGGATCGAATGCACCCTCAGCAAGTTTACTGACAATACCAAGCTATGCAGTGAGGTTGAAACACTGGAGGGATAGGATGCCAGGAATCTTGACAGGCTTAAGAGGTGGGCCCATGCAAACCATATGAAGTTCAACAATGCCAAGGGCAAGGTTCTGCACATGGGTCAGGGCAATCCCAAGCACAAATAAAGGCTGGGAGAATGGACTGAGAGCAGCTCTGAGGAAAAGGACTTAGGGGTGCTGGTTGATGAGAAGCTCAACATGAGCTGGCAATGTGTGCTTGCAGCCCAAAAAGCCAGTGTATCCTGGGCTGCATCAAAAGAAGAACGGTCAGCAAGTTGAAGGAAGCGATTCTCCCCCTCTACTCTGCTCTGGTGAGACCTCACCTGGAGTACTGTGTCTGGTTCTGGAGTCCCCAACAAAAGAAGGACATAGAGCTGTTGGAGCGGGTCCAGAGGAGGGCCACAAAGATGACCCAAGGGCTGGAGCACCCCTCCTAGGAGGACAGACTTGAGAGAGTTGGAGTTGTTCAGCCTGGAGAAGAGAAGGCTCTAGGGAGACCTTACAGAGGACTTCCGGTACCTGAAGGGAGCCTACAAGATAGCTGAGAAGGGACTTCTTACAAAGGAATGTAGCGATAGGACAAGGGATCATGGCTCTAAACTGAAAAAGGGTAGATTTAGATTGGACATTAGGAATAAATTCTTCACTATGAGGGTGGTGAGACACTGGAACAGCTTGTCCAGAGAAGTTGTGGATGCCACCCCCTCCTTGGAAGTGTTCAAGGCCAGATTGGATGAGGCTTTGAACAGCCTGGTCTAGTGGGAAGTGTCCCTGCCCATGGCAGGGGGGGGTCGGAGTTAATGATGGCAGGGGGGGCTGGAACTAGATGATCTTTAAGGTCCCTTCCAACCCAAACCATTCTATGATTCTATGATAACTCTCATACAGGAACCTCAAATATCAATATTGCAACGACTTATTTCTAAATAACTATATTTTATAGGAAGCAGGGCTAAAAAAAGGAAAGCCCCACTGTATTGAAATCTGAAGGCAAGTCGCTAATTGAAAAGGTTTATAGTATAGGAAGAGATAAAACAGATCCCGAAAAAATGAGCCTGAGACAACAGAGGTAAAGAAATCTCTGTGCCTGGGTAGCAAGTAGCATTTGGTCAGTTAGAAGCCTGCTCACACAGAATTGGTTCCAGTTCTTCAAGAAACATCATTTAAGTCAACCTTTATATTGGTAATATTTAGAGTTGCAAACATTCTAGGAAGCCATTTAGTCTCTCCCTGCCTGAATTGGATTACTTACCTAAATTATTTGGACATTGTGGTAGGTTCACCTTGGTTAGCCACCAGGTACCCATCAAGCCACTGTATCACTCACCCTCCTCAAGTGGACAGGGGAAGAGAGAAAATATAACGAAAGGCTCATGGGTCAAGGACAGCGAAATCACTGGGATGTTACCATCACAGGCAAAAAAGACTCAGCATGGGCTAATTAATTTAATGTATTGCCAAACATATCAGAGTAGGATAATGAGAAATAAAATCAAATCTAAAAAGAAAACCTTCCATCCACCCCTCCCTTCTTCCCAGGCTCAACTTCACTCCTGAATTCTCTACATCCTCCCCCTGAGCAGTACAGGAAGATGAGGAACGAGGATTGCAGTCAGTTCATCATCCGTTGTCTCTGTTGCTTCTTCCTTCTCAGACTCTTCCCCTGCACTCTTCTCCTGTCACCCACAGGAGACAGTCCTCCACAAACTTTTCCAACATGGGTCCTCTCTAGGGGCTGCAGCTCTTCATGAACTGCTCCAGCATAGATCCTTTCTAGAGAGCGCAGTCCTTAAGGAACAGACTGCTCCAGTGTGGGTACCCTGTGGGGCCAGAGGTCCTGCCAGCAAACCTGCTCCAGCATGGGCTCTCCATGGGGTCACAGCCTCCTTTGGGTGCATCCACCTGCTTCAGCGTGGGGTCCTCCACAGGCCACAGGTGGATATCTGCTCCACTGTGGACCTCCACAAGTTGCAGAGGGACAATCTGCATCACCATGGCCTTTCTCCACGGGTTGTAGGGGAATCTCTGCTCCAGCACCTATAGCACCTCCTCTTCCTCCTTCTTCACTGACCTTGGTGTCTGCAGAGTTGTTTCTCTCGCATATTCTCACTCCTCTCTCTTCTGGCTGCTGTTGCGCAGCGGTTTTTACCCTTTCTTAAATATGTTATCACAGAGGCGCTACTGACGCCACTGATTGGCGTCTACTACAGGCTGCCCGATCAAGGGGAGCCTACTGACGAAGCATTCCTACTCCAGCTACAGGAGGCATCATGATCGTGGGCTCTCACCCTGCTGGGGGATTTCAATCACCCCGACACCTGCTGGAGAAGTAGCACAAAAAGGTATAGACAATCCAGGAGACTCCTAGAGTGCCTCAGTGACTGACGCCACTGATTGGCGTCTACTACAGGCTGCCCGATCAAGGGGAGCCTACTGACGAAGCATTCCTACTCCAGCTACAGGAGGCATCATGATCGTGGGCTCTCACCCTGCTGGGGGATTTCAATCACCCCGACACCTGCTGGAGAAGTAGCACAAAAAGGTATAGACAATCCAGGAGACTCCTAGAGTGCCTCAGTGATAACTTCTTAAGCCATGAAATAGACAGCCCTACCCGAGGGGATGCAACACTGGACCTGATGGTCGCCAACGCAAGTGAGCTCAACAGGAATGTCAAGATTGGAGGCAGCCTGGGCTGCAGTGATCACGCACTGGTGGAGTACACAGTCCTGTGGGATGTGAGTCAGACAAGAAGCATAGTCAGAACCCTGAACTTTAGGGAAAGCCAACTTCCAGCTCTTCAAGGAGTCAGTCAATAGGACCCCTTGGGAAATGGTCCTTGAAATGGGGGGCTTGTAGTTTAGGGCTAGGGTCTAGGTAAAACCTAGCAATTACGTAACCAAGGAATTAAATAGCTTATAGAAATTAATGGGAAACTGAGGTTAGCAGGCATGTAACTAACTAACAATAGGGTATTGAATAAGGGAAATGAAGTATAGAGAAATAGAAACTGAAGCGGCCTAAAAACCAGATAAAACCGACTCTGTGACTTGGAGAAGTTCCAGGAGCATGTGCCAAAAGAAGGTTATGGGAGTTCAGCATGATGACGACTACTTACTTCCTCCCGAGACCCTGGCCCACGACCACCAGGAGGCACTGTGCAAGCGCGACTGGGAGGAGAAGAAGGTGGAGCACATGCAAAGGACTTCTTGGAAAAGGACCACCTTTTCGGGGACAGGTTATGAGTATGTATAGGCGCTTAACGAATAGGCAATATGTTATTGTATAACATCAAGGGAAATTGCTGTTTTAAGTGCGACCGTCTGCGGGGTAGGGATCCCACGCGTGGAATAAACATACCTACTTTACAACCTTACAGGTTGTGGAGTTATCTTTCTGCGAGTCAGTTTTGGCAACCCAGATAGGACGTGCTCTGCTTGGCTGCAGGATCGACTGAGGAGCGGACTTCCTAGGCGTGCCCTGAC